TTGATATTCGTGTCTCTATTACCGACGCAATCTCCTATCAGAGCAGAAGCCCCATGAGTGTTTTGCATTCAGCAGAAGTTGAGAAAAAGATAAAATATTCAGACGCGTGTCAGGAAAGACATATGTCTTTCACTCCTTTCGTCGTGTCTGTTGATGGGATGCTTGCTCCAGAATTTGCAAGTTTCCTTCGGAGAATAGGAGAAGCATTATCTACCAAGTGGGAGAAACCCTATAGTAAAACTATGAACTGGGTGAAGTGCCGGCTGTCTTTCGCCGTGCTCCATGCTTCCAGTGTGTGCTTCCGAGGCACAAGGACCAAGTGGAGGAGTCTTGGCTCAGACCAGGATTTCTTACCCTAGAGAAGTATTTACGGATGTTCTACAATGAAAATCAGCTTTTGTTAGCCACAATGGACACTGCTACACTGGTGCTTACCGAAACGATTGATGTTCACGAGTTGAATCAACCCCGACATTGAGTTGGCCCCGACGTGTTTACGGATGGTCTACAATGTAAATCTGCTTTTATTAGCCACAATGGACATTGCTACACTGGTGCTTGCCGAAACGATTGATGTTCACGAAATAATAAACAAATAGTTGATAAATAATTGCAAATTTGAATTGATGAAAAAAAGTTAATTAGTCTGTATGGCTTAAAATTGGGTAGCTAAAACTCCAAACAATATATTTTCAGCTAAATGAGGACAAATTGAAAAAAAGTACTGTTGTAAGTTGCGTTTTTTGTGATACGATTTTCCGTTTTAGATAAAAAACGGTTTACAATTTTATACATAATGCAATTTTAGGTTGACCTAAAACATTTTTCTAATACTGATATCACAATTTTCATGATAGTAGTTGTCCTATCTTTTGTGCTTTTTCTGGTAAGGGCTCTTTTTCAAGAGCGGTGAATGTGATACTTCTTTCTGATGCGTTTCATTTTGAAGCTCATGGGATTGGTGAAATTATTGTGTAATTATTATCTTACAACATAGTCCGACGATGTGTGGCGTTCATGTACATAGGGGCCATAATTTGTGGTTTCTGATTTAATGCGTTTGAAGGAAGCAAAATAGATTGGGTTCTACCCTATATAAAAAGTCTGGATTAAAATATGCCCTATTCGGATTCTTTTGTTTAATGTATAACTGATGTTAGAATGATTTTTTTATTACTAGTTAAGTTAAAAAAAACTGACGTATTTGTGTCGGTATTAGAATCAGTTGGTGATTCAAGCTCATATTATCGGGGGAAAAATTATTAATGGCTACTGAGAGCGTGGGGTGTTATCTATTCTGAGTCAGTAGATGGGTCAATCTTGGTTGCGGTAAAACTTTCGCTGACTACTTGGATGAGCCTGGTTGGTGAAGGAGTTCAGCCTGAACTTTCCCGGTTCAACGGCCGGGACATAACACATTCTTTTAGATTAAGATAAAACTATAAAGATCATATAATTTGTCGCTGATCTAGTCTTATGACCAATATACTAACGAAAAGCATATTTTTGAAAATTACTCAAAAACGCATAAACCCAAATATATATGGCTTCAACAAAATAGCAAAAAACTTAAGGTGGAAAAATCACTCTTTTCAACCACTCTTGTATGGCATACTCCAACAACTGGTCTCATCCACTAAAGGACGTCGTGAGCATGCTTTATAGACGGCCTTACCCAACGTGCTAAGGTAACGCTTGGAGTGGTTTAAATAACAGTTGTGACTACTATTGAAAAAACGAACTAATATAAAGCTTGAACGAAAGGATTAGTAAGTTCATAGCAAAACTTAACAAAAACCAGTAAATTCATAACAAAAAAATTAAGCTGTTGAATAAAGTTACTTACCTCACTTTAGTAGCAAAACAACGTGGAACGAGATGATCGCACTCAACAGTGTGAACGCTTTGGTTCCGACGAAACCACCAATTGGCATTTCCAAATGGAGGTTAACTGAACACAAGTCCATCGAAGAAGAACGATTTCGACTTATCTCCTCACATCCCGATACGCCTCGCTACCTCACTTCAGACTCCCTTGTGGAAAATCTGACTTTTCTACGAACATCCTCTCAGAGTAAAGTTGTAACAACTCATCACTTATGACCCTATCTGGCCGAGTGAAGCTTCTTCTATTAAACAACTGCTTCACATCAAATATCAGCCGAGAACCCGAATTTCAGAAGTACACAACAAACTACTAGAACCATTTCAACTTTTTACGTTGGAAATTTCTGTTTGATATCGCTTCTCGCATAACATCTTCGAATATGATTTTAAAGTATTTACCACTTACAAATCAATTTCCATAGCTAACATGTACAATATTAAGCGTGTAATCTATCTGTTTGCAGTCCGGCAGCTTTTAGAAACTCAAACACAAAAACCTTTTACTGGTATTTTGAGGGATGAAATGAGACCCAGAATATTAAATAAATGAGAAAACGATCAGTAATGGATTAATTAGTTACCACGAACCTATCTGACATAAGAAAAGATAGCCAAAAGACAATTGGAAACGATTCAACGCAAGTATACAAAAAAACGCTGATTTGTCTTCTGAACACTTCAACTTCCGAAGCACTTTTTCGAAGAATTTATGATTGATACTTTTTTTGATAAAATCAACTCAATTTGAACATAGAGACGAAGCTGCAGTTTCGCATATACGAGCAGCAGCTTTAAAATGCACAAAATCTCTACATGTGATAATTTGGAATGTATTAAACCAAATTGTGAACAAAAATTGCATTTTAAAATCTCGCAAGGTAAATCAAATTGGAAATTTTCTGAAAAGGATTTAAATTATCATACAGTTGTATGAAACAACTAGCTTTTTCGTTTCAATTGATGAAATAAAAAACCATCAACTATGTTAATCTATTACTAATCAGAAGTCGAAGGACTTGGCAAAATACTGGTAATACAGCCAACCGTTTGAAATATGTCACCAAAAGTAGCACTTTTATTTGCAAGTTAGGTTTGAAAAGTTGCATCGTACTATCACACTACGCTATGCTTGTGTAAGAAACTGGATCAAGTAGTTTTTTTTAAATCTGAGAGTTCAAACCCAATCGAGAGTAGAAGTGGCCTTTTAATTTGAGCCCGATAGTTATATTTGTGCCTGAACCAATTTCCTGGAAAAAAATATCACGACATATAAACGAGTCACAACTACGTTGAACGACTCATAATAGCATGACGAACAGACGGAGTACTCTATTAGAAATTAGTTGAGTTAGAAATCTAGTCCCATCTCAAAATACACAAGTGGTTTTTGAAGTGCACTAAGGCGTGAAATGAATCTTACTATTTTGAGCATTTTTGTTTTCCTGTAAAAAAAATCTATTATCAATTCGTGCATTATCACCTAATTTTTTTTAACAACAATTTGCATTCCTAATTTAGGAAAAAATATTACTTTGAGATTGGTGAACTTTGACCTAACATAATAAAGGGGTAGTCAAAACCAATAAAAATGTTTCTGAACGTGAATGAATGAACTAATAAAGAACAATGACGACCAAAAATATCGCTTCATGTAGAGAATACATGAACACTTCTGCGAATCGTGCAGATTTTAGCAAACGTTCGTTTTACTAGCGCGGATATAGCTAAATGAAAATATTACCTAATAATGCGCGCTCTAAAACTAAAAAAGCACTGATTCTTTATCACGAGGCGTGCAAGCTCACAAGTGTAAAAAAGAACAATTTATACTTTATGGTACTTTGTTTGTTTATCTCGAAACTAACTAGCTTTCGACTCAAATGCAGTAATATGAATGCCACTGGTTCAGTTAATTAGTATTCAATTCATTGAACTGGAAAAAATTAGAATATATATATATATATATATATATATATATATATATATATATATATATATATATAGGTCTATACGGGAATAACAACCCGCTTTAATTCGCACTTAAATTCATTTTAACACACAGCCGAATCAAGGGGTTTAGAATCAACTATGGTCAGCTTCAAGAATCGGCCATTGGATTTGTTGGAAATCAAGAAACTTCACACTCGACAAGCTGAAAAATTAGTTGGATATTAAAATTTACTCCAAAATAATAGTTTTAGCATCGTGCTATTTGTTCTGTGGCTAATCAAAATGAGGTAGATTGATATGAACCAACAGACAGTTGGAAAAGAGTCAATGAACGCAAATAAAAAAAACACGGACTTATTTTTCGAAACGAAATATTTAACTTTCGAAATTCAATCAAACTTCAACTTGCTTAAGAAAAAATGGATGCCCTAGAAGCTCTTTGAAATTCTAGAACAATTTAACATTCGAATTTTTTGATAAAAATAACTCAATTTGAGAAAACTGGGTCAAAACGAAAAAATTATTTCGCTGGGAAATCTTTTCTTTCCATTTCCCAAACTAGAAGTCGATCAGGTTTGTTGTGACCTTTACACTTTAGCTGTTCGATAGTGCAGTTTGCCTTTCCTTTAACAAAAGAAATAAACTGAACTTAAAAAGAAATCAAAAGTCAAACCACGAAAAAGTAAATGTGAGCCTGAATTAGTTTTCTAACTTTTCGTGCAATAGAAACTAAAAAAAAAAATCATCGCGACCTATATAATAGCCTGAACTACGTTCATCGACTCTTAAATTGGGACCAAAATTCACAGCGGAAACAATTCCCTTTTAAATTTTGAGACCGACATTTTATGTTGCTTTTCCAGAATACTATGAGGAATAAAATGATGTTCCATGTACAAAAATTTGATAAATAGCACGAAATAAAACTATTCTTATAATTTCATATTTTTATCTAAAAGCAACATAATTTATTATCTGTTTTGAGCTTTTTAGTTATAAATTTATTCAACTGTTCACAGTCTAATTGAACGTGACTGCAAAAAAATCGGAAGCAGCAGCGTTCTCGACAACAGCAGAACAAATATTTACATTAAGATTTTACATAAATAACAATCTCTTCAACTATTCCCCCTCTACCTTTAGTACCTAATAACGAACCCCCCTCCCCTTTATTTAGTTGGGGAAATAGTTAAAGAGATCCGCAATAACATTATCAAGCCCATGGCATTTGTTTCTTTCACTATTACTTTCCTCGGTATTTCCATTTAAATTACTTTAATACCCTTAATAAATTATTCAGATTATAAATATATTTGATACAGAAATCTTCATTTTCATTTAACAAATCTATTGTCTTTCTAAAAAATAAATTATGTATTTATGATTAAGCTGGTGATAGCGATCATTAAATGCACAAGGATAATTCTAGCACCAAAAAAGTGTTTACACTCAAATACTATCAACTAGTTTGTAATAGGAAAATATGTCCAAGTGTGTTTTAAATTAATTTAATTTGCTTTTTTTCTGTTCATCAATTATAGCTGATCATTATTAACCTCGGAGTCCATTTCTTCTTCCTCTTCTTCGTTCTTGCTGGTGGCACTACTGAAGTGAGGCCACGAGCGGAAAAAGAGGTGCAGTTTCCTCCTGTGGAACACGTGGTAGTGCCACTCAGCCCCCTTCCTCGAATGGAACTGCTTCCCACACTCCATGCAAGCCCACATGTCCCTAACCTTTTCCCCGTCCTCCTTTCTAACAGGGAAAACCCCCTCACAATGCTGGCCACTTTGTCCGTCCTGCACAGATTCGCCACTCCAGCTGAAAGCAGACAAGGAAACCATAGCCAGGAGACGGCTCGAAGACCGTTTACGAAAACATAAACAGATATCAAATATGAACCCATAATGAAATAAAACGAATACAAATCACTTCTGAGCTTTTAGTTTCAATCATTATTAATTTTTTATCATTATTAAACTAACCTAATTTGAGAAAACTGGATTAAAAAGTGATTTTTTTATTGCGCTGGGATTTCTGAAAGTTAAAATACCGTTTTTTTTTAAATTAAATTCACTCACATTTGTCAAAATACAGTATAACTTGCATTGCCTTTAACTCAAAAAAGTGAGCTCAAAAACAATTCAAACTCAAACCGCGAAAAAATTAAATCTGAACAACAATTTTAAAAAGCTTACCTGGAACAACAAAAATTCTTTGACTTCTTTTTTAACCTTAAAAATACCAAAAAATGAAAAAATCACTTCATTCACCAATAAAAAAAGCAACGCCAACATCCAGTTGAAAAAGAATCAATGAAGGCAAGTGAACAGAAATAAAATACTGACTTGTTTTTCGAAAAAATTTGAACTTTCGATTTTCAAAGAAAAAACAGATGTCCTTCAAGCCCTTTAAATTTCAAGAACAATTTATGATTGAAACTTTTTAGACAAAAATAATTGAATTAAAAAAAACTGGATTGATATGCAAAGTTTTTATTCCGCTGGAAATCTAAAAATTAAATTACACTTTGGAAACTAGAAATAGTTCACAAATTTTGCGCAATTCCACGTTCGTATTTGGAGAAGGCTATTTACGTAACTTTCAACAGATGAATTTCAATGGACTCAAAAAGTGCATAAATACCTAAGTGCATTCATAAATGCTGTAATATGTATGAAGGCACATCTGTAGTTATTACAGCAATTAAGATTGTTTTCGTGAAAAAAAAATCACCAAGACCTATAGAAGAGACTTCCCTACGTTCATTACTTAAAATAAATTAACTGAAATTAAGCAGAAATCAAATCTCAAACCGCGAAAAACCAAGTTTGAGCGTGAAAAAAAATTACATAAGTTTTTCCTTAATAAAAAAATCACCAAGATCTACATAAGAAAGACTATTCACTATGTTCATGACTCTTGAAGAAAATTTCGGTTGCTATGCACGCAGCACAGAAAGTACTGGTCAAAACTATTTTAAAAAACAAAAATAAAACACTTTTTGTTTTCAAATTCGAGTCGTTCGTTTTGCGCCGTGTCGTAGAGGAACTCAAATAAAATCTTTGGCAAAAAATCTTTGGAACCTAATTACATGCACCAATTTCAATACGAAAAAATATCTTCCAATTATAACACAAAACAGTCCGTCCAGGATCGACCCCTGTATCTTTTCTCTTCGCAGCATGGACTCTACTACGTCTACATCAAATCGCCTCAAGTAAAAAACCAAACTTGAATTGATTTAAGTCAAAATATCAAAATATCAGTAATTTGTGAGCAAATAAATAGTTATCTACGGCTAAAGAATCAAGCTTTTCGAAGCTTATTTAATAACTTTTCAATTTCTACAAGATACTCGCTGGCTTTACTCGCTTAAATTAAAAAAAAATCATACCGTTTTTTCTCAACACGGAAATTCTTTTGAATTGTATTACCAATCGAATCAAGGCTGAAAAAGCTGTAAGGGGAAAATGCAACAACACGAAAACAGAAAAAGGAAGCACGAAAACAGAAAAAGAAACTCTACCTATCAAAATCCTCGAAAACATTCTACCTTAAGAATCATGAAGTCGGCTTACATTCGCTACTCTATCAATTAATTTAAACCAAACTAATAACAACAACAAACACCCAAAAACTCAATAACCTATACCTGAAAAACTACAAATCATACCTTAAGCCCCTCTGACCCCCTTAAGCTTTCCAGCGATCTAGCAAAGGTCAATTACACAAAAAAAAACGAGAACTAGTTGATCAAGTAAACTACTTTACAAACCAATGATTGCCGGTTGATCTGCAAGTAACAGTGATAAAACCACAGAATTTCAACACAGAGGCGAGGCTGCGCTTCTCAAATACTAGCGAGAACACGACTAAAAAGCAGCTGTCTAAAGTGAAAAAGAAAAAAGTAGAAACAAGCCTCGAATTAGTAAAAATTCGGTTACGTCTCGGATTCGAACCTATGACCCAATGCGCCCTAAATAATATGAGTATCACGCACTAACCACTCGGCCACGGACGCTTAATTAAAAACAAATACTAGCCACAAATGTAGCAGAGAACAGATGCTATGTAATTTCCAATGCTACAGTGAAATTTCTATATAAGCGAACTCTTTTAATGAACATTTTTATTGGCGTGTTAGGCTTAAAAAAAGAAGGTCCGTACTGATACACTAACGCTCGCAAGCTCGTTAGTGTGAACAAAAAAATACTAAGAAGAAATAAGGAAAACTTGATCAGATGCTTTTTTCAATTTACCTTTTCGATACACAATGTTACTTTTCAGGCAGTAGATGACTCAACTCTGAAAATATGTTTTCCTTATTTTTCTAAATACCTTAGAAAAATAAGTAAAACATGATCAGATGTTTTATCAAATTTATCTTCTCGATATAAAATGTTTCTTTTTAGGCAGCAGATGATTCAGTTCGATGATAAGCGACAAATAAAAAACAGACAACAGACAGCTGGTAAAGAGTCAATGAACGGAAGAAAACAGCAAACTGACTTGAATTTCAATTTAAGAATTATATGGCCGTCAAGCTCTTTGAACTTCAAGAATAACTTATGATTGGCACTTTTTCTGGAGAAACTGGATCAAAGGAAAATCTACTTTCGAAAAAAAATTCGATGAAAAAATATACATTCTTAGAGCTCTTAGAATTTCAACAACAAGTTATGATTGACACTTTCTTGATACAATTGACCCAATTTGAGAGAAATGGATCATTAGATAAAAATTTTATTTCGCTAAGAAATCTGATAATTAAATTCCATTTCCGAAATATTAATTAGATCACTTTTTTGTGACCTTTACATTTTCGCTGTTCAATATGGAGTTTGCAATCCTTTCAACAAAAGAAATAAAGTGAACTTAAAAAGAAAAACAAAAACTAAAACGGGAAAATCAAAATTGAGCGAGAACTTTTTCTGAAAAACAACTCACAAACACCTACTCACTACGTTTATTATATGGCCGTCAAGCTCTTTGAACTTCAAGAATAACTTATGATTGGCACTTTTTCTGGAGAAACTGGATCAAAGGAAAATCTACTTTCGAAAAAAAATTCGATGACTTTTTTTGTGACCTTTAGCACTGTTGCTGTTCGATAGCGGAGTTTGCCTTCTTTCAACAAAAGAAACTGACCGAAATTAAAGACAAATCAAAAGTCAAACCGCGAAAAATCAAGTTAAACATTCTTTGAACACTTGTATACGAATGCACTCAGTCCAAGTCTTTTCAATATTGTATCTGTAATTAAATTGAAACATCTAGTGTTGAAATACAAATTCGAACCCAACAAACGGACTAACCCCTCTGCACAAAGACCGAGTGGGTCATGCTTTGATACATTGGACAAAGAAGCAACTGAATGGCTCCCCGCAACCGAATCATCCGCGCATGCCTCACACTTCTGATGGGCATCATGTCCACATCTTCTTTTCTCTTTGCCTTCTATTTTGTCGGTATTAGACAGCACCGTTGCCAGCTCTTTTTTCTCGTCCATGCTCACTTGAGAACTGCGGGTAACTCGAGACAATGCGCGTCTGGGGTTGGCCCAAAAAGCTCGCAGTGCTGAGATGTGTTCGCTCCCTGTCTCTTGTCCCTCCAACCCACTCACAACACCAACCACAGAGTCTGAAGAGCAGTCGGTGGCTCGATCAACACACAGGACTGTTCCAGAAGATCCTGCTGATACCGGGTAGACATTCGACTGAAACTCAGAGACAGGTAACCTTAAGGAGAAACAGTTGATGTAGTCAACGGACATTCAATAATACATCTAAGGGATAACATATTTGATGTCTTAAAAAGCACCAGTATACAGAAATTTCCATGAAACTAAAAACAGGGCAGATGTTTTCTTTTGGAAAAATATCATCAAAACTTATATCAGCAAGACGTGAAAATATGAAAGCACACCCCGACATCTCTTTCTGCTATAGAAAACACAACTTCTGAGACATATGACTGAAGGACAAACAATTTCACCAACCAATGCAAAATAGAAACAAGGATAGCCGGTTGCTGTGCGAATAGCACAGAATGTTCCGACCACATTCGTAAAAAACTACAAAAAAAAACTTTTTTCTACCTTTAAATTAGCGACGTTTGTTTTGCGTGATGCGATTACAGAAACTTAAAAGCGCGTAGAAAATTATTGAATAAAGGCATTAAAAACTACAATTTTCTTCAAAAATTAAATAACGAAAAACCGAAAACAAAAACAAATTTAATCTGTGTGAAAAATTTCTTGGCCAGGAAGCGCTTAATGAAGCTTCAAAAACTGGTTTTCATTTAAGCCAAATCAAGCTTTTTTTTAGCCTAAGAGGCCAATATTTAAATACATTCAATGAATATTTTATATATTCAACGAACGGTAATTGATCCCTTTGGAATAAAACTTGAAAAATTCATACGGTTTTTCTCAAAACTGAGAAAAATTGTTGGACTTGTTTAAACTGTCGCTCTCATCACTACTGAAGGGCTTTAAAATTATATATCTTTCGACCTATTCCGATGATTAATTGTAGCACCTGATTTGGAAAACAAAAAGAAGTATTTGTAGTACCTGCGTGGAAAAAAAACAAACACACCCGAATACGAGGTTCCTCCACATTTCAAGGGTTGATTGGCATAGGAGCAGTCTTATTTCAATAGATAATTTATCAACTAACTCGACTTTTTACACAAGCAAGTATTAACTGTACACGCAAGAGTTACGACTTTCCACTCTTATGAAACGCATATCAACAGGATACAGGTTTACCGAGCACGAAAACATCATGTTAGGATCAAAACAACCCACTATAAAAATCACAGATCACAGTCCGATAAATTCTCTCTGCATAAAAACTCAAACCCTAAAGAAAATTAATGAAATTCAAATGCTGATATTTGATTTTAATATAGGGAAAAATTGGTACTACCAGATACACTAAAAAGAGACCTCACAAGTGGTAATATAAAGAAAAATGGTTTAAGTCTAAGACTAGGATGCAAAACGCAGTAGAGGTAGCCACTAAACAATTCGCTTATACATTGAACACCAAACAAAACAATATAAGGATGGCCTCAGAATTTAAAAAAACTCTATAATCACCTTGGATTCAAGGCCAGTAGCAACAAAAACAAAACAGATAAAACCAAGTCGAATTTCCAAAGACAAAAACATCAAGTCGAAAAAAAACCTTCTGTAACCAAAAGATAACAGATATTATAAAATCCAGGATTGTTTGAAGTTTGACACCCTGCAGATTACGATGTTTCGAACAACAAAATTACAAAACATATTTCTCACCGCTTCAAAAAATAAACTCAGTAATTAAATAACTGAAATCATGGCATCAAAAAGACAGAACCAAACGAAGCAGATACAAGACCATTATGAAAAACGAACAAGATAAAACTCGCAGAACTATCATTTCCAAATGTATATTGGTTAACTGAACTAAAACAAAAATTTCAAAATTGAAAAACAATGATAGCCGGTTACTGTGCAAGTAGTACATGATGATCCGACAAGATTTTTGCATTTTCGTAATTTTTTCTTTGTGATGTGATTCAAATATCTGATGTAAACTTATAATTTAGGCATATTCGAGAGTCATGCTAATAGAGGCAAATTGGCCAAAAATTTTGTAGAAAAATGACTGGAAAAACAAGAAACTAAAAAATCAAGTTTTTAAAAAAAAATTAGAGTTGATTTGTTTGGTTCGATAATGGCAATAAAAAATTTCAAAAATCAAGTTTAATTGCTGATAACTGAGTTTTGAGGGCTTAAATTAAGCATAAATAAGGTGTTGTAGGCCTGCTCGCTCGCTTTATTCGCTCGAAATTGAAACAAAAATCAAACATTTTCAACCCGCTTTTCTCGATACTGAGAAAAATTTTTGAAAACTTTTAGAGCCATTCGAATCACGACTGAAAGGGCTTCAATTTGGTATATCACTAGACCCATTCTGATGATTATTTTTGTTACCTGATTTTGCGAGAAAAAAAATAATCCCAAAAACACAGTTCCTCTACATTTTTCAAAAAGTCGAAACAATGACGACCACCCGAATGTGAAAAAAACACATAAGTTCAAGACTACTAGAACCACTCATATTCTTCAACATCGTGTAACAACTGCCAAATATCTTCGTGGACAAAACAATCAAATCCATTATTAAAAAAAAAACATAGCCAACTGAGAGTTGAAAACGAGTAATGAACACCAGGAAACAGAAAAAAATTGACGTGTTTTTCGAACAACTTACACTTTAGAATGTTAAAGAAAAATATACATCTTTAGAGCTCTTAGAATTTCAACAACAAGTTATGATTGAAACTTTCTTGATACAATTAACTCAATTTGAGAAAAATGGATCATTAGATACAAATTTTATTTCGCTAAGAAATCTGATAATTAAATTCCATTTCCGAAATAATAATTAGATCACTTTTTTGTGATCTTTACATTTTCGCTGTTCGATATTGGAGTTTGCAATCCTTTCAACAAAGGAAATAAAGTGAACTTAAAAAGAAAAACAAAAACCAAAACTGGAAAATCAAAATGGAGCGAGAACTTTTTCTGAAAAACAAATCACAAACACCTACTCACTACGTTCATTACTCTATAGAAAATCTTCCTCAATTTATTTCGGAAATTTATTTTCAGCAGCTAAAGTTTGGACTACTTTAGAAAAATTTTAAACATTTGAATCATACCATGTGCCATCACCTTGAATGGATTTGAAAAAAATTGCTCCAAATGAAATTCTGCTTTTAAAATGTCTTCAGCTAACTGAGCACTATAGAAACAAAAAAAATTGAAACCATGCCTTCGAAAAAAACTGAAAAAAAAGTAACAAAAAAGTTTTTCTTTTCAAACTGAAAGTTTTAGCCTGTATTCAAAAAAGCATTTAAAAAAAAGTGTATAAAAAGCGTTTGAACGTGTTACGTTCTTCGAATTGAATTAATCAAATAGGCCAATAAAAATTGGGCCAAAATCAATTAAGCCTACAAAAATGAACTCTAGATACAGTAACTACATGTTTTAAACATGCAATGTGCTGAAAATGGAGATCTTGAAATTGGAAAAATTCTTTACGGGAAAAAAGTTTAGTAATCGATTGCAATACCCTTGTTCACAGCAAGGGTAATGAGTTTAAAACCTAATAGCAAAAGGTCAACCGTTTAGTAAATAATCACGCTCGAACACAGTACGCTACTGCTTGTTTTAATATTTAGGCATTCATGTTTTGTTCTAAACTCTCAGGAAAAATATACATTAAAGTATTATAAAAATTAAGCTAAGTTAGAGTATATAGAATATGTACAAAGAAGTTTTAGTAGCAAGAGCTACAACCAAATTTATATTGCTGCGACAGGATTCTCATACCATTCTCTTCAGTATGCTCAATTATTGAATATCTCCTAACCTCTGCTGCAGGTGAGCGTTGAGATGAATTGCCAACCATCAGGGTATCAGGGTCAGAGAGAACATCCGATCTGCACTTCAGCTTCTCTCTCCTTTTATCACGCGACACTTTTTCTCCACAACGCCATTGATGCCTCACAGGAGACGAATCTACAAACAGCAAATACAGGGCGTCCCAAAAAAAACAATGGAAATATCTCGACAACTACTCGGTCGATTTTCTAGATTTTGCACACGCACAAAGCGATCTAAAAACACGTTAATCAGTGATTCCTAAAACTTCGTTGAACATGGGAAAAACCTAACATGTTTTTTCACTCTAAAGAAGGTGGAACCTATTTTCTGAAACACTCCTAATTTTACTAATAATTCGTAGGATCTGGTAAGGCCAAAAATATAAGAGTATTAAAACACAGAGGCGAAGCTGAGCTTCGCACCACTCGCGATACAAAACAAAAAAGCCGCTGGAAAAACAAGCCAAGACAATAGAATGTAAAATTCGCACCAAAAGAAAAAATAACAAGTAGTAACAAAGCCGAAAACACCTTAGCAGACACTCTTTAAGCTGAAAAAAAATCAACAAGACTTAAAAAAAATTTTAAGTCCCCTCACCCTCCACACCCACGCACACGCGCGCACACACACGCACACACACACCCACACGCACACACACACACACACACACACACACACACTTTATTCGCCCCTCAAATGAAAAAAATGAGGCGACTAAGCCGACATCGACATAACAGGCCGAAACCTATTTAGCCGATAAGGAACAGAAAATTCAAAAAATTCAAGACTAAAAAAAATTGTTAGGTCCCCTCGCCCTCAAACACACGCACAAAAAAAACTTTTTCAATCCTCGAACGACGCAATATAATGACACTCACTCGAAATATTATAGACGGAAACTTTTAAAGCAGAACAAAAAAGCCGACAAAAATTTTGAAAAATTAAGACTACTTTAGAGTTATTAAGTCCCCCTCACCCTCCAAACACACACGCACATTAAAAAATTTTTTGCTCGTCGAGCGATGCAATATGAGGCCACTAAGCCGAGATGATATCGACCAAAACTTATTAGGCCAAAAAAATCAATAATTTTAAGACTTTTTAAAAGTTATATAGTTCCCCTCACCCTCAAAACACACACACACACACATACACAAAATTTTTTGCTCGTCGAACGAGAAATATGCGGCAATTAAGCCGATGTAATATAGGCAAAAAATCTATCAGGCCAAGAAGAAAACGAAAAAAAAACATGAGCATTTAACAAATCGAGTCGCTAAAATTACTAACTACATTTCAAAAAATTGAAACAGGGCAGCTATTTAAAATCCCAACAAGCACAACATATATCTGTAGCGATTAGTTGGTTATTTGTAGCGGTAAATTGGTTGCTAAGAGGCTTCCTTGTAGCTCTCATCTACTTGAATAATTGATGTTTTCCTATTTTAAAATTATTTTTTTAACCTAGAGATTGCGAATGCAAATTATTTCGTGCAGTTCTTCCACTATTTTTTCGACAGATATGCTAGCATTGATAGACAAGATACACATACTGTATTCATTTGGAAAATATCTCTATTATAACTCATATTTGGATAACTTTTCTTGTTCCAATTTTTGCATCCTTTCATTACTCATTATCGCAATCTGAACTTAAAGCCAGACCAACAAAACAAAAATGAAATATTTCTGAGTTCTTTAGCAAATTAACCTAAATGACAACCTAGCAACCATAATATAGCTTTAGAAGTCAAAATATTTCTAAAATAATATAACATATCATCAAGATTTTCCTTATATCTTTATAGTTACAACTACATAGTCTATTTATAAATTCATATCACTCATCAATTTACTTGTGTCTTATGATCCACACTCCAATCCTATCAACAGGACCCAGACTAATTAATTCAAATCATCAATTTTTGATTTTGAATTCTCATTTTTTATTGAGTCAAACAGTATCTAATTACTCTTCGGAGTATTCACTTTACCCACATCTTTTAATTGACCCAGGACGGAACCAACTTGAAGAATAGTTACTTCATTATATTATCAACCTAGTGAATCAATCCACAAGTCAGGTAAAAGAAATTGGTTCCATTTAGTGTAAAACCCCTTTCTAGAACTTAGCGACCAGAAATAAATTTTAGGAATCACAAGTTTTTAAAATAACATAAGATTTCATCACGGCGTTTCTTGGATCTATATATTTGTTCTTCTCGCCCGAAAATATGTTCACGTCAACCATCACTTCAAATGCGTCAAACGACCCACTGGTTTATTTTCACCCTCCTTGCCTATAAAAAAGAGCCTGGAATAATTAAGATTTGATATTGGATACTCAAAAACTAACAGTTTTAAATTAAGTTAAACAGTGTCTATCGACTCTATGAGACGATTCACCTCACCCCCACTTGGTAATTGAACCAAGATAGAAAGTAAGACTAGTAGTGTTAAAATAGATCTCATCCGTTCGTTCTATACTGGTGACCTGTGAAAAAAACTTGCTAACCTATAGTGAGCTGCATTCCTTACAAGTGAAAAGCCTAAAAAATTAAACGCAGAAGATTCGACTTTTGAGGATTAAAAAATTGATATTACTTTTAGTTAGACAAGATTCAGCGTTTTCGTTTTAGAAACTCAGCATCTTGGAAGAAAAAAATAGATTATCTAACAGTTTTTGAAACAAAAAAATGACACAATCTTGAGTGAAAAAAAAAGAGGAGAGATGAATGATTTGGTTGTCTTTAAAAGTAGCTGATATGAGAGAAGTGAATGACCAACTGTAGCATCTGTCGGTGGGACGTGGGGTCTCATCCATGTACGTGATTTCCGGCGGTCTCACCCACGAGATTGTCTCCATACTCGCCTTAGCTGTCGATGAGCAGTCTAAACACAGGATCGATTAGATGTGCTTCTGAAATGACAGTTTGCAGGTGAAAAGTCAAAAACTAAAATGAAAACAGTCAGGCAATAGACAATTGCAATGCAGTTAGGATCAAACTAACGAACTTCCCTTTCCCGGCCCCCACCTACGCGACTCCAATGTTTTGACTTTAAGTTTGCCCCAATCGATTGCGTGTACACATAACACGACTAAATTCATTCCAATATAAAAATACAACTCGGATTGAAAATCTCCATTTGGTCAATTGGGAGGGTGGATGTTAATTTGATCCCGAAACAGTCCTTTTGAAATAGCATAGTACAGTGAGCGTGGAAAGTTAAGTGATAAATTTTACATGGTATGCCAAACTCTTGTTTCACACACAGCATTGTCAAGGCCAGAACGATATGGTCAACACCACAACATATCATACATGCAACACCACATTTTAGTCTTTTTACATTCTGTTACACCATGGTAGCGCAAATCTTATTTACTCGTCACTTGTTTTAAAAAGTAAACACTTTTCCAAATTACCCCCGATAGATTCACATGATACCATTTTCATGCAAACACATAGAAATTTAAAAATGTCGAAGTCCTTCCAGTCGTTATTAAGATTCAAAGCAACTAATGATTCACAAACAGTTCTCTCAGAAATTAGGATGTACCCCCATGCAATTGAAGGTCTTCGTTTTTAATATAACAGTTTTTGTTGCTTTATTTGAATAAATTTAAGAGCGCCTATGCTTTTCCCCCTTAATTTAAAATATATATTTAACATAACTTTTGCTAAGATGACTGTGGTCGGAACATTATATGCTAAGTTTATAGCATGGATATCATTCTGATTGAGTATTGATTAAGGCTAGGAGAAGGTGAATGGTTAAATGGCTAAACCAGTCAATCCGTAATAAACCATGCAATGCATTCAATACAATAAAACACAATACAAACCAATTAGTTGATCCGTAGGAACCAAATCAAGTTTACTCACCCACATTTCAGAAGCTGCCAGCAATGCAATAGTTCTATCGAACAATCGCATAACTAAAAATTGACAAAAATTCAAACCATCAACATTCATTTATTTTAAATTTTGCGACGGCTAATTTGCTTCCGTTTTTTTAGGCTTACTGTTTTGATTTTTAGAGCTATCCACAAATCCCAAACAAAAAAATCTTTCTATCCACTACAGGTGCAGTTTCGAGACCAATGCTTTGGTTCAATTCAGCTAAAACTATAATTGAGACAGCTTTAGGTCTTATCCACAATTATTGAAACCATTGAACAGTATCAATAAGTGAACCTCAGAGTTATTAATTGCCAGCAAATAGAATCTACGTAGGAGTGAAACTAATCAATACACGATATTTTATCCTTTTCAAACGTATCTCAATCCATTTAGCCCTGTATTTCAATAGTTACGCAACGTCGAAACGTAAGTTGCATATGTTAATGGTAATGCATAGTATTGCAAGGCCTTTTAGATACTGTGGGATTATTGTCTCTCAAGGAAGTACTGAAAATAGGAAAACTGAAATACATTAAAACGCCAAACCGCCGAAAAAAATTTAATTCAGCGGTTTTTCCATTGGTACAACTTTTTGAAAACTGGTATTTTTGAAAAAAAAATCCAAAGCGTCAAAAAAAATTACAAACCGATTCCATTTATTCCCATAGTACTTGTTTTTATCAAACATCAATTTCTAGCTTTTTCAGCGACGGATACCACACTAATGCACTGCCTCATTTTCAGCTCTTAAAAACCTCATGCTCGCTATCAACTGCTTTAAGCTGGGGTACAGATCCCGCGAATGTCCATAAAAACTCATTTGCTGTTCCATTGTTTACAATATGCGAAATCATTCACTTCTCAAGGAAGCAAACGTCACAACGCAACAAAGGACAGCAATTCATAGCAAAATTCATCTAAACAATCATAGCATTGAAAGTCAATATATTCAAGCTTGTCACGCACCTCCGGTGCTTCGTCGAATTTTTGAAAACTATAAAAACGGCATATTTATTGTAAACACAATTTGGTTTGGAGGCAAGATTCGCAATGCTTGAGATTAATCTGACAACCAGGGTGTCTCACTTTCAGGATGCAAATTTGAAATTTTGTGTACATTTTTTTTCAAATCTCTGAAATTTATAGAAAATAATTTGAAAAACGTAAAGAAACTGAAGGAATTTGAGCTGTCGCAATTGAACACAAGGTTTGCAACCCCTGAGAGTACCCTCAAAGTACCCAAATACAGGGTTGAGAAATTCAAACTTCGAAGTTTTCTGAAAACTATGGAAAAATCATTAACAACTGCGTATCTCGAGAACTACAACGATTTGAGCAGTCAAACTTGGAGACAAGCTTCACAAGCCCTGCAAACACCCTGACAGCACCTCACTATAGAGATGGGAACTTCAAATTTGTTGAAGTTTTTTATATCTAAGTCCTGTGAAAAATTATTGAAAGACATAATAAAACGTCACATCTCGATAATTTAAAGCATTTGAGCAGTCGCATTTGGACATAAGATTTGCAACTCCTAAGAGTGCCCTCACAGTATCCACCTACAGGGTTCGGACTTTCGAGTTTTAGGAATATTTTTAAATTTAAGTAAACCATCTCGTAAACTACCCATCTCTGATTTGGGTATTCATAATTGGAGGCCAAAACCGCAACCCCTAGGAGACCCTGACAGCAATAGTGGGGGTTGCTGATTTTAAACTTGGTGAAATAAACGCTGAATTCAAAAATTGCTTAACCATTGTACGATATAGCTTAGGAGTGAAAAAATTCTTTCGCTTAACATGCAAAATCATATACATACATTTGCATTTAGACATAAACAGAAAGATAGATTTCCTGAAACTATAAAGAAGAAAACGGCATCGACAGAGTAACAACTAAAAATTCTACCAGTGAATCTTCAGTAAAAAAAAGCGAAAAAATCATCTCTGACTTTTTGGATCCGCGATGATTCTGAACGAAATGGCGAACAAACGGAATTTGGAGAAATTCGAGCGACAACAAATTTGTCTTTAGGCGGCCAACGGCTGACAATGATGATTATACACATGTAGTAAAAACACTGACCTTCACGTGACATTTATCTTGGCCTTTAGAAAAAGCCTTTTTAAGCGTTGTGATATGTTGGTCACATTCCGCCTCAGCAGGTTGACTCGGACGAATAGTTTCTGACTCTCAGCTTGATAAGAAAAGCCAAAGACCTTAGCTACAGCATGCGATTTTTGAACAGGGGAGGCGATTGCATAATGAACAATTTGATATATCCTACTGCTAATGTAGCTTTTCAAGCTATGTCATTGTTAAAGTTTGTTTTTAAAATGGATCAAATTGAGCGCGACTATCTTGAAGGTTTCTGTTTTGCTTTAAAAATAATCACAAAAAAAATCCTAACAGCACCCATTAAACTGCTATGACTCATCGGGGGGAAGCTTCGCTTCGCAAAGAAGAGTGAGAACGACAACGCGACAAAGAACAGCAATTCATAGCAAAATTCATCTGAAGAATCATAGCATTGAAAGTCAATATATTCAAGCTTGTCACGCACCTCCGGTGCTTCGAATTTTTGAAAACTATAAAAAACGGCATATTTATTGTAAACAAAATTTGGTTTGGAGGCAAGATTCGCAATGCTTGAGATTAATCTGTCAACCAGGGTGTCTCACTTTCAGGATGCAAATTTGAAATTTTGTGTAAATTTTTTTTCAAATCTCTGAAATTTATAGAAAATAATTTGAAAAACGTAAAGAAACTGAAGGCATTTGAGCTGTCGCAATTGAACACAAGGTTTGCAACCCCTGAGAGTACCCTCAAAAAACCCAAATACAGGGTTGAGAAATTCAAACTTCGAACTTTTCTGAAGTTTGAATTTTTCTGAAAACTATGGAAAAATCATTAACAACTGCGTATCTCGAGAACTACAACGATTTGAGCAGTCAAACTTGAAGACAAACTTCACAAGCCCTGCAAATACCCTGACAGCACCTCACTATAGAGATGGGAACTTTGAATTTGTTGAAGTTTTTTATATCTAAGTTCTGTGAACAATTGTTGAAAGACATAAGAAAACGTCACATCTCGAATATTTAAAGCATTTGAGCAGTCGCATTTGGACATAAGATTTGCAACTCCTAAGAGTGCCCTCACAGTATCTACCTACAGGGTTCGGACTTTCGAGTTTTAGGAATATTTTTAAATTTAAGTAAACCATCTCGTAAACTACCCATCTCTGATTTGGGTATTCATAATTGGAGGCCAAAACCGCAACCCCTAGGAGACCCTGACAGCATTAGTGGGGGTTGCTGATTTTAAACTTGGTGAAATAAACGCTGAATTCAAAAATTGCTTAACCATTGTACGATATAGCTTAAGAGTGAAAAAATTCTTTCGCTTAACAAGCAAAATCATATACATACATTTGCATTTAGACATAAACAGAAAGATAGATTTCCTAAAACTATGAAGAAGAAAACTGCATCGACAGAGTAACAACTATAAATTCTACCAGTGAATCTTCAGTAAAAAAAGCGAAAAAATCATCTCTGACTTTTTGGATCCGCGATGATTCTGAACGAAATGGCGAACAAACGGAATTTGGAGAAATTCGAGCGACAACAAATTTGTCTTTAGGCGGCCAACGGCTGACAATGATGATTATACACATGTAGTAAAAAACTGACCTTCACGTGACATTTAGAAAAAGCCTTTTTAAGCGTTGTGATATGTTGGTCACATTCCCCCTCAGCAGGTTGACTCGGACGAATAGTTTCTGACTCTCAGCTTGATAAGAAAAGCCAAAGACCTTAGCTACAGCATGCGATTTTTGAACAGGGGAGGCGAGTGCATAATGAACAATTTGATATATCCTACTGATAATGTAGCTTTTCAAGCTATGTCATTGTTAAAGTTTGTTTTTAAAATGGATCAAATTGAGCGCGACTATCTTGAAGGTTTCTGTTTTGCTTTAAAAATAATCACAAAAAAAATCCTAACAGAACCCATTAAACTGCTATGACTCATCGGGGGGAAGCTTCGCTTCGCAAAGAAGAGTGAGAACGACAACGCGACAAAGAACAGCAATTCATAGCAAAATTCATCTGAAGAATCATAGCATTGAAAGTCAATATATTCAAGCTTGTCACGCACCTCCGGTGCTTCGAATTTTTGAAAACTATAAAAAACGGCATATTTATTGTAAACAAAATTTGGTTTGGAGGCAAGATTCGCAATGCTTGAGATTAATCTGTCAACCAGGGTGTCTCACTTTCAGGATGCAAATTTGAAATTTTGTGTAAATTTTTTTTTCAAATCTCTGAAATTTATAGAAAATAATTTGAAAAACGTAAAGAAACTGAAGGCATTTGAGCTGTCGCAATTGAACACAAGGTTTGCAACCCCTGAGAGTACCCTCAAAAAACCCAAATACAGGGTTGAGAAATTCAAACTTCGAACTTTTCTGAAGTTTGAATTTTTCTGAAAACTATGGAAAAATCATTAACAACTGCGTATCTCGAGAACTACAACGATTTGAGCAGTCAAACTTGAAGACAAGCTTCACAAGCCCTGCAAATACCCTGACAGCACCTCACTATAGAGATGGGAACTTTGAATTTGTTGAAGTTTTTTATATCTAAGTTCTGTGAACAATTGTTGAAAGACATAAGAAAACGTCACATCTCGAATATTTAAAGCATTTGAGCAGTCGCATTTGGACATAAGATTTGCAACTCCTAAGAGTGCCCTCACAGTATCTACCTACAGGGTTCGGACTTTCGAGTTTTAGGAATATTTTTAAATTTAAGTAAACCATCTCGTAAACTACCCATCTCTGATTTGGGTATTCATAATTGGAGGCCAAAACCGCAACCCCTAGGAGACCCTGACAGCATTAGTGGGGGTTGCTGATTTTAAACTTGGTGAAATAAACGCTGAATTCAAAAATTGCTTAACCATTGTACGATATAGCTTAAGAGTGAAAAAATTCTTTCGCTTAACAAGCAAAATCATATACATACATTTGCATTTAGACATAAACAGAAAGATAGATTTCCTAAAACTATGAAGAAGAAAACTGCATCGACAGAGTAACAACTATAAATTCTACCAGTGAATCTTCAGTAAAAAAAGCGAAAAAATCATCTCTGACTTTTTGGATCCGCGATGATTCTGAACGAAATGGCGAACAAACGGAATTTGGAGAAATTCGAGCGACAACAAATTTGTCTTTAGGCGGCCAACGGCTGACAATGATGATTATACACATGTAGTAAAAAACTGACCTTCACGTGACATTTAGAAAAAGCCTTTTTAAGCGTTGTGATATGTTGGTCACATTCCCCCTCAGCAGGTTGACTCGGACGAATAGTTTCTGACTCTCAGCTTGATAAGAAAAGCCAAAGACCTTAGCTACAGCATGCGATTTTTGAACAGGGGAGGCGAGTGCATAATGAACAATTTGATATATCCTACTGCTAATGTAGCTTTTCAAGCTATGTCATTGTTAAAAATTTTTAAAAAATGGATCAAATTGAGCGGGACTATCTTGAAGGTTTCTGTTTTGCTTTACAAATAATCGCAAAAAAATCGTAACAGCACCCATTAAACTGCTGTGACTCATCGGGGGGAAGCTGCGCTTCGCAAAGAAGAGTGAGAACGACAAAAGAGCAGCAGCTTATAAAGTGAAATTTAAAAAAGTAGAATTAAGCCTAAAATTAGAAAAAAGTTCTGCCTCGCGACGGATTTGAACCTGCGACCAGCGATTACGAATCTCACGTCCTAACCTATCAGCCAAGGACGATTAACAATCGGCAAACACTAGCTTCAAATAAAGCAGAGCACAGATACTGTGAAACTTTCACTGCTACAGACCGTCATTATAGCGATAGTGCCACCAAATTAGCAATTTCATTCTCGAGTTAGGCTGGAAAAAAAGTAGTCATACAAATACACTACGCTCACTAGCTCTCAAGTGTAATTATCAATCGCGGTTTTTTCCACTCCCCTTCCCCACATTTGAATTTCAAGTTTTAAAAACTATTTCAACATTGTCATAATGCAATGAAACTTTGCACTGGCAAAAAAAACCAACAATTTTGAACAGATTTGATCCTCATACTTCTCATCGTGAAACCAGGCATTTAGCCGTTATAACACACCTATTAAAACGGAAAATTTGAAATGTGAGGGAAGTTTTCTTTAAAAATGAGATTTTATTGAAAGTTACTCAGCAAAAAAGTGAACAAATAGTGAAGTTACCCAGATATTGAAAAACTGCGAGCGAAGAGAGTTCGCCGAATATTTCGTTAAACTGATAAAAAATAAAACGAGATTACACTCAAATATTACCTGGCGTCGGTTGCCATGTTGCGCTGATTTCGCTATCTCTCTCTTGCTCTCTTTCTCCCTCCTCGCTGTCACTGGAGAGAATGACGACCTCCACCTTCATCCTGCGCAGAGCTTCCTTGCCCTGCTCCCGTTTCAGCTGATCCCTGTACCTCAGCATCATCGCCCGCAACTCAACCCCTTTGGCCACTGAATCCTCGTCTTCATCCTCTAACTCCTCACACTCCGTCTCCTCCTCTTCTTCTCGGTCTACTTCCGTGTCTTGCTTACCCATTTTTCCTTCTTTTCTGGGACTTGAAATCGCCCACTCTTCTACCTCCGTCTGCTGTACGTGTTCGCAACTCTGCTGTTCTAGCATACTTCGATTTTTTCGCAGCTTCTGATGGTCTTCTATTTTACTAGTTCCCCCCAACTTTCGCTCAGCTCCCAAATGATCAGGAAACATCAGCTGTGGTTTCAAATTTAACATACCTTTCATATTTTGTCTACCCTTGAACATTTCATGTTTTTGTAAACTTTTTTGTTCCTGCAATTTTTGACGCTCTTGCACTTTTTGCAATTTGAGCAACTTTTTTTGTTCTTTTAACTGCTTTTCTTCCAACTTTCGCCGTTGTTTTATTTTCTGCTTTTTTCGTAACTTTTGCCGTTTTCCCAAACATTGTTTTTCTGCCAAATTTCGCTGTTCCTCTAACTGTTGCTCTCTCACCCTTTGCTCCGTTTCCTGATGTAGTTGTATCTGCACTGCTTCTTGTTCTGATAATTTTTGCTGCTTTTTACGTAATTTCTTTTCTAAGCGTGTTAATAACTGAACCTCTTGCCGTTCTGGATTTGGTTTTCTTGCTTGTTTTTGTCGATGTCCAAGCTGTATCTTCTCTGGTATTTCTTTCGGTTCTTCCTGTATTAATTTTGTTCCAGCAACTGAGATCGGATGGATCTTTTATCATGGAGATGGATTAGATTCAGCTTACCATTTGTTTGTAACATTATCTATTTTCGACCAAAGAGGACCGTGCAATTTTTTCATCTATACTAATCTTGATCTCAATTCTACTCTTAATTCCTGGTCTACAAACTACACATAGGCGAAGCAGCGCTTTAAAAACACTTGCGAGAACAGGATCACAAAGCAGCTCTTTCAAGTAAAGAAAAGTAGAAATAAGCCTCGAATTAGCGAAAACTTGGCTACGTGTAGGATTCGAATCTGCGACATACTGCAATCAAGAGATCAAGAGTCTCACGCACTATCCAATCAGCCACGCAAGCTTAACAACCAACAAACAGTAGTCAAGAAACACTAGTCAAGAATAAAGCAGCTACATATGCTAATAACTTGCCAATGCCCAGCAAGAGTGGCACCAATTACAAATAGACTCGATTTTGCAATTAATTATTTGGAATTCAAAAAAAAAATGAAGGCATCCACACTTACGTTGCATGTAACAAATCGCATAGCATAAAGCCACATTATGTATAAATTATGCATATCAAAAAATTTCTGAAATCGAGTTTTCATTATTGTTAAGTTGTTTGAAAAAAATCAATTTTCACATTCGAATAGTAATAACTTAACAGAGTTCATGCATTTTAAATTCATCAAAGGAACCGAAAAAGTGATTTGCTTCAGTCATCATAACAATAATGAAAACTCGATTTCAGAAATTTTCTGAATTAAAAATGCTTCAACTGTGTTAAGTTATTACTATTCGTTATTACTATTACTTGTCTCTTCGCAAATCGAGACAAACTTTCGCCATTTACTAATGGAAATCGGTTCTCTTTATTTTGCTCTCTCTATTTAAACAAACTTAGCTAATTCTTATTTTATTTGCTGAGCGTATTACGGATTGAGTCATCCTTTAATCCTGCATAAATTACCTGCAAATTGAACTAGATTTCTGCAATTTCGCACGCAGTTGGAGCAAAACCAGTAACATTAGTTCAGCGGCACTCAGAAATAATTTAACACCGAAAAAAAAAATTACGGTTATTTCTTGGATGTTACCGTAGAAAACTCAAAGAAAAAACGATGGAAACGGGCAACGAAGCTAACGAATCGACATCAGAAATGTTAATATCCAAGGAATAATTGACCCTTCGAATGTTACGACCCTTTCATTTGCGCAAAAAACGGCTCAATCAGTGACGCAAAACGAAAAGAAGTATTCTAAAATTGAATTTGTTCTGCCATTTACCAGATAAATTTTCCAAAACCGAGAAGAGCAGGATAAATTATTCAATGAAATGGTTACCAGTATTCGTAAGGGACTTCCTGCAAGACATAGAGATAATATCACAATTCTTAAAACGTCCGTAAACAAGACAGACGGTAAGAAACTTCATGCCATTCGTATTCTAGGACCAATCGAAATGAACAGAATATGCTGAAGCTCAAAATGACTGGCATTAACGTAAGAAATAAGCATTTGAATGCCTGGTGCCCTAGGGAACGGAACCCAAACGGGTTTTCGCGAGAAGTATCTCTTCAATTTAGGAACCTGCCGCATTTCATTCCGGATGAAATGGTCCTGGATGCTATTCAACTGCCTAGCACGGAAAACTTCAACCCAATTGTGAAGCAAAGATTGCCAACCGAAGATGGTGGGCGGTCTTTACTGGTTGGGCCTACACAAAACTCATGGTAGAGAATGACATGGAGCTCGAGCAGTTTAAAACATGGGCAAATGAGAAATCTACGGAAACATTTGCCATTGATGAAATGGAATTCTACGCGAATATTCCATCGATACTCGAATGCGAACATTGCAACATTGCAAAACGACAGGTAAACGTTTCAACGGCCATCATGCGAAGTATTGCTGGGAATTGAAGATAGCAGCTCAGCAGCAACACGAAGATGCCGAAAACTCGCCAACCCCGCTCCCGGAAAAAAGAAATGAAGATGGGAAAAAGGAAAAGTATCATAAATCCCTGAAACCCCAAAACATTGAAACCAAGCAAATGAACCAACCAGTACAAGATATGCAGAACGACTTGGAAACAACTAATGGATCGCGAATACAGAGAAAATGAATAAAGGAAGCGAAAACTCCAATTTAGTATCACTGGGACGTGTTCTAAGGAATCGACAACAACACAGGAAAGCGAAAACGGATCAAAACTCCGATAAAAAAGGAGGACGCCGATACAAATGAAGATTAACATTAAAAGATGAAACTGCTGCGGACTTGACAAAGGGATAAAGCTTAACAGTTTCCTTCAAAAAAATTATCCACAGACTTTGACAAACGACTAACATTTTTTGCTTTCATGAAGTAAAACTAGTAGAACTTGACTCAGACATTACTTATCCTCGAATATTACAATCTTAGCTACCTATACCACCCAAGCATTGGTAGGAGCGGAGGTCTTCTGACTTGCTGGAACTTGGACGCAAAAGTACAGAAACTTTACACGACGCTTGCCTTGTTACTCACTTTACTGACTTCTCCATAACTACAGTTAACACATACATAAAAGCAGCTCACTATCCCATCTACTGCCAACAATTGGGCAATGCCATGCAGTGCCTGAAATTACTTCCTGATCATCAAACTGTTTTACTTGTGACCTAAATGCATATCAGAATGCAAAAAAGGAACGAGTTGGTCAGAAAAAAGGAGGCACTGTGAAGAAAGATTTACACTTATGCATATTCAGAATACTGAAATTTATATTTGATGACTTTCAACTCGATGATGTAGCTCTTACCTTAGATTGCGACACAGTGACACATGAATGCAAACGAACCGGAACAAGAACAAGAATTGACTACTTCTTTCTGAATGATTTCAGCAATGTAGAGAAAATTGAAACATCGGAAAATAACCTGAGCGACCATCATTGGGTAAAATTGAAACTTGTTACTGGAACCGAGATTGAAATTGGTCCTGGAAGCTGGCGTCTCAACAACAATGTTTGAATACCCAACTACAAACTAATACGAAATTTTCTTGGTATGAGCGATGATAACCGAAAAAACTACGATATGGAAAAACAGAAGCTGCGAGACTACCTGAGAGGCCTATGCTTGAAGTAAAAATCATTAGAAAATCAACGAAAACAAAAAGTAATTGAATTTCTCTCCAATTGTGACCCAGCTGACCCAAACTATGGTTTTTAATCCAAAGTGTTGCGTGGTATCGAAATAAAAGAATGCAAGGAGTTGCTTTCTAAAACGAAAAACCAAAAGAAGTATTCGAGGGAAATCCAAAATCGGTCAAGCGATGGGTGGGAGATTTTCAGCCGCGAACATTAATCAATGAACTTAAGTGTAGCAATGGGGAAATGTCCACGAGCTCAGGCCGTATACTTGATGACATAACAGTATTACGAAGACCTCTACCAGAATGACGAAGTGGAACCACTAGATAGATTTCATGTCCTGAGGTTTTTCTCAAAGCTATCACAGATGATGAGAAAGACAAATTGTCTCTTCCATTTTCAGTAACTGAAATTGAAAATGCCATTGATAAACTGAATTTGTCTACCAGTCCCGGTCCTGACGGGCTAACATCTGAACTGTATAGGCAGCATAAGCATCTTTTTGCCAATCTGCTTTGTCCAATATTTCAACGAACGCTGAAGAAAAGTCTCTGCCGTCCTCTTTTCACTGCGCCATACTGAAACTGTGACCCAAAGAGAAGGGAGTTAAGACAGCTTCTGATTTCAGACCATTATCATTGATCAACACCGACCAAAAAATTTTCTCCCATTTGATGGCATCTCGGTTTAAAGATGCCATAAAGCAAGTAGTTCTCACAGACCAATATGCTTACCTTGGTCATCTAAGCATGCATGTTGCCATTAACGACACACAGCTCCGACTTGCAGATGATGACCTAGATATGTGCATTGCCAGTCTCGACTTCTCAAAAGCTTTCGATAGAGTTGATAGAAAGTACCTGTTTCAACTGCTGCGGAAAATGAATCTACCACCATATCTGGTCGATGCATTGGAAAATCTTTACAACAAAACGACTGCTTCAATAAATGTATATGGATATCTCAGCCGAGAAGTTAAATTGGAAAGAGGAATTCGACAGGGTTGTCCCCTTTCTGCCTTACATTTCATAATAGCCCTGGAGCCGCTGCTAGAGATTCTAAGGCGTCATCCATGGTATCAATATGCTCCAGAACGACGAGTAATTGCTTACGCCGATGACGTCAATGTCTATGTACATAAGGAAGACCTGGCCTCAATGTTCCAGGAATTAGATACGTTTTGTAAAGGAACCCAACTCAAGGTAAACAGAGGAAAATGTCGCATTCTGAAACGTAGAGAGGCCAATAACGATCGGTACACTGACAAAATTAAAGTGCTCGGGGTCTATCAAGGTAGTAATAAAGCTGTCAAGCTCAATCGCGAGAGTAAGCAGAAGACAATGGATAACATGCCAAAGTATTTCAATAAGTCGATGAGTGTCTTCGCTAAAGCTCAAATCATAAAAACTTTCTTCTTGCCCAAGTTTCTTCACTTTGCAAGACACTCCCCGTTTGGAAGGAACTTAGAACAAGACTTTCAAAAGCTCAGCCTAAGTTTTGTGCTTTTGAAAAGGGCAACCGCAAAAGAAGCGAAGTAGCGTTGCAACATCTACAACGAGAACGATTTAACGGGCGAATAGATTGGGCCAACTTAAGATGTCACGTATTAGCTGCAAAACTGGTTGACATCAGAGATGCAATGCGTTCAAATGATGTGCTTACCAAAAAAAGAAAACGCCATTAAAACAAAAACATCCCTTATTAAACTCTCTGTATCAGTTCTTATTTCAAACTATTACTAAGCCTGAAGACTGGAGTAATAGAATCCGAAATAATTGTCACAAAATCAACTTGAGCGAAGAACAGTTCAACAGAACTCCAATTTGGGTATCAAAACAGCAGAAGTTAACAGCTTTCCCAGACAAAGATGTTATGTGGAACCGTGGTCTGAAGCCGAACCCTCTCTGCTTTTCATGTACATATTCATTCGAAAACATTAAACACCTTCTGGGTAATTGTCCTAAAACAGCGACATACTTGAACGATCTCGGTATCACGTCTCTATACGATATATTTACTCCACCTACGAATCTCAAATGCAAATTGATCGCAATTATTTTGTACGACTCATGGCTGAATTCGAGCGAAGAAACAACATATAAACTGCACCTCCTTGTTAAAAACTGTGACTCAATAACTTGAAAACTATTTGAAATTATGTAACCTCTTACCTGATGTATAATACGTAAATAACAGTCATTTACTTCTTTGCATACTATTCGAATGTCAAAGCACATGCTATCAAAAAGCTGTAACGGTGCCCCACCATTATTGGAGTAGCGCAGCATAAAAATGCCGCAGCAATATTTGCGATCGGTTTGAAAAAACGAAGGTTCGTACTAATACAATCGCTGCGCAATTGTAAAAAAAACTGGAAATGCGGTCTAAACTTGGTCTGACTAGTGAAACTAGTTTTCTAGGTTTCAAAAAAAGCATTCAGGGGTTGTACTGCTCGAGGATTTTGATCTCAAACTAGTCTTTGCTCATCGTAAAATTTTTTATCTAAATTTTTTTAAAAAATCAGTTAATTTGAGTCATATATGGCTACCCTAGCAAGTGTTATTGGCTTGCGGCGTTATAAAGCCGTTGTTGCAGCTAGTTGCTGTTCAATCCGTTCCAACTGAATATTTAAAAAGTTTTCAATCGATGCTATTCAACTCGAAATCGGTTTGCTCAACCTGCTAACAGTTCGAGATATATTGAAAAGGTCGAGGTGAATTAATTATTGGAATGCGTGAATTTTATTTAAATTTGGGAAATTTCATTCGAGATTCAGTATCTACGTGTTTCTCGCTTGCGGTGACTTCAGTATTGATTAAGCAGAGCGAGTAATAGACTGATTTCATTTTTTTTCTCAGGTATAGTTAAAAAATAATCAAGCCCCTTGTTATAAGATGATCAGGTTGACCAAGGACAAAGCGATGGCTTGAGGTAAAGGCCAATTTGAAGTAAATCCCGCTGCTCTTATGTCAGCCGTGGCAGTGCCGCAAGGTCAGAAAACCGCAAATAAAAAACACCATTATCCACACATCAGATTAATGGATGCATAGAGACTGTAAAATAGTCCGCGCCTGTGTACGATTAAGCTTCATTGAAAAGCTTCCTACGGTAAAAAAAAAACAGAGTTATACGTCTTGTCGAATATATGTTTAACCAGAGGGCAGAAAATGGCAACGCATAACAAAAACTGAACAAGAACCGTTTTTGGATGTATTTGGATGTAACTACAGGAATGCATTCCTTACAGACCGATAATTGGCTTTGGTCGAAATTCAAAATGAGGTCAGATCAAACGGTTCCATCGCAGTCGTGAACAGATCATAATACGGATTCAAGAGGACACAGTTGTTTAACGAAGAGAAGAAACACGAATAAACTGGTGGAACCAGTAAATAAACTAACCGGCACTGTGGGAAAAAACGCCGCTACGGCATGGAAGGAAGTGTCTTATGAAATATCAATCAAGCAACACACCAAAAGACAAATCAAAAGACGGAGATAGCAACGAAAGGCAGCCAGAAAGAGGTTCACGTGAAAGTAGCTCTACCTCGCCCTGTCTCTTTAAAATTTTCCATTAAATCGTAAGGCGGCTAGCAGAAAAGTACCGGGTAGAAACATCCGGAAGGAACAAAATGTCAGCATGTAAAGGGAAATGGGTACCAAGGATCAAACTGAGAGTCATAAAGAAACTCGAGAAATACACAACAGTGAACCGTTACAGAAACCGTTTCACGCATTTTTTGCAGATAATACACTCACTTTAGGAAGTCATCAATAAAATTTCAGGGAGCTGAAGCCATGAACGAATTACTGAGGAATTTCGGGGAGCAAAACAACGAGGACAAATAGGAAAGTTTTATTTGGAAAAAATCTGCGGGAAAAAAGGTTTCTTGGCAGCTGGATTGGCCCTAAGGCTGACATACAAAATTGCCAAAAACGTGCCGGTGCTCATCGGCAAAAGTTAGAAAGCCGACGACTCAAAGGAACCCGATTAACCAAAAAACAACCAGAACACGTCAAGGAATCTAAGCATTTAGAAAGCGGTTTAATTTTTAACGCGACTGCTCGCATGTGGTATGATGGAAAATGAAAAGCATTCAATCTTAGATTGATCTTAGTTATCAACACATCCGGAGCAGCAAAAAGGAGTCCCCTTTAATCGAAATGCACAAGAAACATGTATGACGTATGAAACGAATTGGTTGCGAAGTCGATAAGATGGGAAATTGGAAAAAGAAAACTATAAAGGATAGGACACGTCCTGCGGATAACAGACCCACCAAAATATTCATGCTCGGGTGGCTCGAACAGTTAGAGCCACAGCCAACACAAAAAGTAAGAAAAATGAGGATGTTACTCTATTGTTAGAAACTACCAAGAGAGGCGATAGTAGATTAGAAAGAGGTCCATTGGCTGACAAGAAAAGGTGGGAAAAAATTGGTAAGGAAACGAGAGCTAAGTTGGAAAAGCCATTAAAGCCCAAATACACTAAAATGATACATATCTGAAACCTTTTGTTCCACAGATGGGGCACTCCGATACAACAAAAAGATGCACGAAGGGCAAACAAAAACCCCAAGGGTTTATAAAGCCAATAAAACCGAATGTAGAGAAACAAAATTGTCAACAGATATGGACCGCCACAAATGTATGTCGAGCGAGAGAAGAGGGAAAGGTTTGTCATTGATAGCTAATATAAATTTAAATTTCAAGAAAAACGGTGAACTGTAAATTCTCTGCTGTAGTATTTAGTTTTTTTTTTACTTTGGACTTGAAAAGAAGACTTGAAGTGGTTCTTTTGATCGGTTGCATTTGATTTCAGAAAAAAAAACAAAAAAAAAGAAATTTGCTGAAACAGAAAATAATACAGGTAGTTTTTGGTCTTCATCCAGACTTTGATCACAGTGCCAGGTTTGATGCTTTTCAATAAATTTCTGCTGGCCTTTCTTCTGTGGTTGTTCAGATGGTTTGAAGTCTAAAAATTTTTGCTGCTTAACTAACTTTGTTTGATCTTCCTCCTCTCGATTTTTTTGCAATTTATTTCTTTTAGAGTTACTCGGCGGATATTTCGTCGTTTGTCCATCATTTTTCTGCTCTCGCACAATTATATTCTTCGGAAAATTCAGAACTTCCGGAGATTCCATCAATTTTGATGAGGTTCTTTGCCCTTCACTAACTTGTTGCTCCTGCAAATCAATGACTTTATCGCATTTAGGTTTTGTTCGCAATTCATATTTAAACTCTTGAGGGTTTATTGGCTCATCTTGTATTTTTTGCTGTTTTGTTGCATTTCGCTGCTGTTCCGGCCATTTTCTTTTGGCGTCGGGTGTTGTTTCCCTCTGTTGTGCAGTTTTTGGTAATTCATCGGGCATTTCGCAACCTTGCAGAGCTAAATCGACGCCCTCCTCTTGGCGATTGTGCCATTCATACATCCTCATCATCTGTTCATTTTGCTGCTGCTTCTCTTCTTGTAGATCGTAGATTGCACTACAAATGCTGCCCGCGTTCTCCAACTCACCCTCACACAAAACTTCAGATGATTCTACTGACAAAAAAACGAATACGAGTAAACCTGTTTCGAATTATAAGCTAAATTCTGGCTTCAAAAAAGTCAATTGTCAAGAGTCATTTCTCGCTTTTTTTTCTTAAAATACGCACTAAAAATAGTAAATACTTTCTTTTTAGAATCAAACAATTGTCACAAAGTCTTGATCCAAATTGAACGATAATTTAAGAAAATATACCAACATCCACCTCTAATTTTGAAGGGGTATTATTAAGTTGATGAAATTTGTAAATCCTTAATACTTTACGAAATATTTGGTTTTATACAATTTAAGAAACAATCACTAAAATTTCTCAAGCTCTTGCCAACTAGGGAAGAATCAAACAGGAATTGTTGTGATTCAATCAAAGAATTAAATACATGAACATAAAGTGAAAATTTTATTTAATCTCAATCAAACCTTCAAAAACTGGCGTTATTTTGAAACTTTCATGAAACATTTGGTTCGGATTCGAGAAACATTTTTCAACTCACGTATTTGCCCTGAGCCGCTGCCACATGGATAATCGGAAGGAAACGCGTCACAGTACAGGTCTCCACTCAAGATTACTTCAGAATCAATAGGCGAGAGCTAAAAACAAACATCCTCAAACACAATTTCTTTTATAAGTATAGAAAGTATAGAAAGCTGCCATCACTCCTGGTAATCAGCTTACTCTTGGTATATTTGAATCGAAGAAACTGGTGTTTGGTGGCTAAATACTCGGTGTTGATAACCAACTTGAAAAATGAAGCAATAACAACTAAAAGGGAAAAAGGTCGAAATCGTCATAAACTTTTCCCAGTTATTCGTCTCCGCAAAGAGAATTTTTGAGCTCTGATTTGAGCTATTAAAAAAATTACGATCTGAAAATCAGCTAGTTAGTGTTCTTGACTAAAAAAGTATGATTTCAAAAACAATTTTTTACAACAGCCGACTTCAAAATAATCCGTGAAGCTTACCCTGAAAACACTGATCGAAGGAGCTATTTTCTTGCTGCCTGTTCTCATTCTACAACTCAAATAAAACCAAATATGATAATACTTCGAAAATCGTGGGTTGACAGGCTGACAAAGGATAAAGATCTTAATCATACAACATTTCTACGTCTTTCATGATATCTACACAACGGAGCTAGTTTTGTTGAAGAAACCTACCAAGAAGGAACTTCATACTCATCTATGTCACCCAGAAAGAGTAATACCAGCTTGAATGGACATTTGGCAGGAAAAGTGCTCTGCGCGTAAATTCAATATTGCAAAAAGACGCAGTATCATTTACCAGAAGGTCGATAGAAAGAACAGTCGCTCTAGATCTCGAAGGCTTTAGATAAAAAAACCTGATTCATTGGAAAAAAATATCGCAATGGTAATACAGAGAAAGCCAAAAAAATCCTGGAAGAACACTACCTGCACCATTAGAAACTTTACAAGGACCATTGGAAATTACAGAAAAGGTAATTTCTGCGGAAACTAGACGACAAAAATAAGCAGACAGACAGTAGTCCTAAAAATCCAAAAAATTTCAGTTTGCGAAAAGAAGTTACCGACTGAAATCGAACTCCCATGCTTTGACTTTTCAATCATGGATGTAACCATTAGACGAAATCATCGAAAAAAAATATATTAAGTTAAAATTCAAAACTATTTGAAAAATTTACAAAATACAGATAAACTTCCAATTATCGAAAAAACTAATTAAATCTAAGAAAAACCTGGGTAAATCTGAGACGCAGTAGTAAGCCTTTAGATGGTAAGCCAATAAAAACTTAGCCACACCAGATTTTGAAAACAAAATAAATACAGCCAACAAAAATTAGGACAAAAAACGAATCCGAAAACAAAACCTGAAATTTCTCTCTAAATTATTTTAAAAAAAAAAACGAATTACAGCCAAAAAAAGGGCTTGCTAAATATAGTTAGTTGCATTCCCAAAAAAATGATCAAGATAGCACGTGAAAACACCTGCACCTATTTCTGACTTCCTTACAATGTATGTAAGAGAAGTTGTTAACGGGAAAAAAGTCTAGCTTTCGATCCAAAACACTTGCTCTCGCAAGTTTAACAAAAGATTACTTAACCAATTATTTTATAGAAAAGAAACCTGAGCTGAAACATTTTAATGAAGTGAAGATTAAAAAGCAAGTAAACGCGAGGTTAGATTAGTGTTCAGATATGTTCTGTGCCCAGATAAGAACATAGACACTCTCGTAAACAAAAAAAAAACTAAAAGATATACCTAATGTTTTATTTTGTTTCAAGTGATTGGTTAACCAATTATTCGCACAATTTTATTTGCGAGTAAGGGACTTGAACCAAAATTTTAATAGCACAGTGCTGCGAAATTCAAGCGCAAACACTACTTCCTAAGGATTAAATCAGATATTCAAAAAATAACTGAATCAAACCATCGCTTTACCCGGTAAAATAAAAACTAAGAAATCTGAGCTGGACTTTTTCATGAATTCAAGATCGGAATAGTAGCGATAAAAGTAGTGTCAGATGGGTAAAGGATCTTGTGTACGATTGCATAATTTAAATCCTCAACACTGACCATGACTACTGGCCGAAAGAAGGTTGTATCACGTACCTACACAAGAAAAGCATAAGGAACGACCTGAACAACTATAGAGGGATGTGTCAATTGACTCTAGCCAGCCGCATTATTTCAAAGATTTTTGCATCCAAGCTCAGGATCTGGGCAGAAGAAACAGAAGAGATGGAAGATAACCAAAGCGGCTTTCAGAAAAGTAGATTGACGGCTGATGCTACACAAGTTATCTTTTAGATTGATGGGGTCCAGTGGTGCCGCCTTCTCGCGGTGGACCCGACGAGCGACTACAGTCGCCGCAAACGACTCCAGTACAACCCTCCCGTTTTTGTGAGCGCAGAAAGCACCAAAGACCAAAGTTGGCTGGTCTGCTTCGTCTATCAATCCTCATTCTACTTTTACGTGCCCGCATCAAACCCACCCTGGTCACTAATTGTAACTCAAAAATCGCTCGCATAAAAGCTAGTATGTGGTGCCATATATGCGAATGGATCCACTCAAATTCTGTGGACTAGCAAACTCAAAGCAACACCATCGAAAAAATTTACTGCTCCACTTGTACAAATAACCACATCTTACCCCTCCTAGTAACATACTTCACTAATAGACAAAGGACAAAAAATCAACATGTTAAAAACACTTAATCATAAGCTAATAGCCCCCCGACTAACCAAAGCATCCCCCATATCTCAATGACCCTCTTACGGCTAACTCTACTACTCCCACTAAGTCCCTCAAGTTTTTACAACCTGATTGTACTGGAATATCCGAGCAGTGGCATATTAATGTGCGAGTACCAAATACACATTGCACTTTTCTAAGAAACTATATTAGCTGAGAAAAATCGACTCCCTCGTTTGGTCTGAACTAAAATGTTTTAGGAAAAGACCGCCGCGAGATGGATGAGGCCTCCTAACTTTCAAACACACATCGGTTATTTACGATGAAATGCAAATTGCAGGATGGGACGTTGGAGCCAGGTTTTTAAAACAAGCCTCATTTTTACAAGTTTTAATAAACCCATGCAGCAGTTGCCCTAAAAAACATTAGGCCTCAGTGGCTCAACTGCTCAGAGAAGATCATGCAATCGTCATGTTAGACGCTAATGCCCACTCACCCTATGATATTCAAACATTCCTGAAGACAATAGAAGTCTTCACGGATTCAATTTTTACCCCAATAAATGATCAAAGTCAGACCTGCATATTATTCGATAACACTTCACCCTCTTCCCGGGACATCTGTCTAGCGTCATCATCATTCTTACTCTTTATTTTGGAAACCTACTCTAACTTTGGTCTCGGACCATCTTCCAATTTTAATAAAACTCCCTTTAACTGAGCAAATCCCACGCTCTGCAAGAAAAATCTTTTATAATTTTAATTAAGCAAACTGGGAAAATTTAACAGAGGAACAAGCAAACGAACTTGTAAACACCGGTATTATCAACGATGCAAGCAAGGCTGAACATTTTTTAGAAATGTCATTTTAAAGCAAGCAAGGCACCATATACCCACAGTGCGTCATAAATGTTATACTCCGGCTTTAAGCGACGAAACAAAGAAGTTGGCAAAGGAGCTAGACACTTAGACTAGAAACCAATCAAACCCTGTCTTAAAGGCATTAAACTTTAACTTGATAAAAATTCCAAAAAAAAAAGGCATGACTTCCTACGAACGTTTAGCCACCACACGTCATCCAGTAGGTTTTAGAAAAATGTCCGCTCCCTAAAGGGAACAAAATGGGTAGCAGGATCATTCCTTATCTTTTTTAGAAGAGCAAACTTTTCGAAGGCAAGAGAAATAGCAAACCCGTTAAACGTGCAATTTACTAAACTGAAAGTTCATAAATCGGAAAGTCGAACAGGAAACCAAAAAGAAATTTTAAAACCAAAGTTTGAACGAGCCACTGTACTTCTTGCTATGCAAAACTGAGGCCGTCATTGAGGCAGCAAAATCTTCCAGAGCACTGTACCCTGATGGCCTCTGCACAGTCCACATCAAACATCTAGGGCCACGGGCTATAATCTTTTTAACGCATCTTTTCAGCCTCTCTCAAGTTAAACAGAACACCTCAAATCTGGAAGATCGTTCATTCATCGAAGCATGGTATTCTATCGGACTCTGTTGGAACAGCTACATAACATCACAGTTCACAAAAGCTACAATCCTAAAAGCAATACAGGGACGCCTTGTCGACATCAATGATTCTGTGTACAGGTGTCCCTCAAGGTTCAGTCATCTCGCCAACTCTTTAAAACTTTTTGCGCGTCCAACCCCCCTTCCATTGGTTTTTCCTCCACCAACGGTTCAGTCAGTCTTTCTACTTCAAACAACGAATTTTACCTTGACCCCAAAGTATGTGTGACTCGATTTCACGCAGAAGCACCCAAAAAATCTTTAGCGTCTATTTCGACCCAGCTCTTATTTTATCGAATACTGCAGACAATCTGCAAGTAAATCCATGCTCAGAATATCAATCCTGAAAGCATTGTCGGGTACAAATTGGGGCCAGTCGAAAGACTCATACGTTACTTATTAAACTTATGTTACTGATAAAACTTTGAAAAGAATGGTTATTGATCGCGACCGTCCAGCCAGGGCCCATACTGCCAGTGATACTTACATTTGAAAACTGCAAACAAAGCAAAATCCAGCTCTTCGGATAGTGACATAGTGGTGCAATAAAAATAGCTCTACACTAATGAGACCTACACTCAGAGTGCAAATTACTTAAGAGAAATTACCGTTAGCTACTCGCATCTCAATTTGCCCTCAAAACGTACAAGCCTTTAAACCCAGTACCGTTTTTCCACACTCACCAACCACCCCCAAAAACTACGCCGAAACATTATAGATACTTACAAAGACAAGCTTCATTTGGTTTTTATTGAGGCAAACGATTCCAACTATAAGATTTCAGCCAGCTTAGCGTTTTTGTTAACCAGAATTTTATAACGCTTTTAAAGCACATTCACACTCTCAGAGTTTAAAAAAGAAGTCCCTCGCCAAAATTCACCCTCTAATACTACCAGAAGTATCTCATTCAACAGAACCGACACTCCCCGCGCATTTAGACCTACCCTCGCTCCAATCCGGATACGGTCCCTACCTTAACGCTTTTTTAAATAGGATAAACTCGAACCCCCCCCCCCCTAACTGCCCCTAAAAACAGCAGGATCAACCGGATTGATGAGGGGGCAGACGAGTTCTAGGGCCTATTGGTGACGATTTGAGGAGCCCTGGTGCGGTATTTTTGAATATAAAGAATGCATACCCAAGAGTCAACAGAGAACTCGCTACGAGCATTCTAGAGAACTTAATGATGCCCAGCTGCAGTATTGAAGGACTATTTGAACAAACTCAAACTCGAGTGAAAGGCCGAGAAGGCGGCCTTAGTGAGCCGTTGCCCCCATAGAAGTTTAACAACCGGGTGTGCCATGTCACCGATACTGATCAATCTCTATCACTCCGAAGCTATGAAAATTGACTGAAGAGAACCGAAAATTGTATGAAGTAAACAGTCTAGATTACGGCTTAACATGGCTATATAACCGACAAAACAGGTTGCCACAAAACCACATGAAACAAAGGTATCGAGAGTGGCACTCAGGATAAGTTTATGGAAACCGAATTGCTGATCGCTGATGATTCTGCTTTAATCCGATCGATGGACCGATGAACTCGAAAAAGGCAAAAGAAGCTGTTACAAAAATTTCGAAGAAAAATGCGACGAGGGGAAAGCGTCATTATTGGATCGGAAACTATCCTGAAAACGGAACTGTTGTGAACTTTATTCGGAAAAACAGAAGACCGTAAAGCACTTAAAGAACGAGTCTTCCAGGCTTGGTTTAAATGGAGAAACGGTTATGGAAAACAAATCTTTTAAGGCGAACAAAAGCTGTGATTATACAGGGGGTCGTCGAGGCATCCATTATATGCGACTCGAATCAAAGACCCTGTTTACCAACAGACCGTACCAATGCGCAGCAGACCGTACTACTTAAACGCATTACTAACAAACTCTGAATGGAATACTAAGAAACGGTTTAATCGGCTAGTGGAGGCGACTCATCAGTGAAGCAGAAGACTGGACCAACGCTTGGAATCGAGCGTGACCAAAAAACCTGAAAAGCTTATAGAACATTTCGGCGACAGCACCTGATTAAAAGGGAGACAGCGATGACAGACCATTGTAGAAAGAAACGAATGCTGAACAGACAAGAAAGGGAGACGGAAAAACTTGCAGAATAGAGAGATGTGGGTAAATCTGTAAGATCAGATCGGACAGAGCGACACACAAAAGACCGGGTCAGCCCCAGGCGGGTAGAGTGTTTGAAAGCCAGGGATGCAAAAAAAGTTTTCATGAGAAAGGCCAATTGACAAGCCACTAAGAGACTTGCAAGAAGCGAGAACTACCAGATAAAGCAATAATCGCAAACCGCTATACATGCTTACGGCCAAGAGTGAAATGCCTATAACGTCGAGCAACTCAGCCAGACACATAGACCAGAAGAAGATGCAAGGCCCCAGGGCGTAAATGGGAATAAGAGGAGGATGGTGATGAAAAAAAAAATCAGTTGAAAATGTTACAAAAACCCTCGCACACACCAAGCAACATAACTATGAAAAAAAGCTCAGGAATTAGAGAAACTTTAGAGTTCGTCGCAGTTTTTGGTAATAAAAGAGTCCAATTACGTCATATACATTCAGTAACCAGAACAATATAAACGGCAGAAAAAAGTTGTAAAATCAATGAAAAAAAAAGCATGATAATTGCTGACTTTGTAGTAGTTAGCAGATAGTTGAAAGATGCCCGAGGGAAAAAGAGCCCGGCCTGAGGGCACTAAGTGCCCGAGTATGGATCTTTTTCCCTCGGGCATCTTTGAACTATGTTCTAACTGTTGAAGAGTATGTTTTTGCTCTTTCTGAGGGAAAGATGCCGGAAAATTGTGAAAGAGCCCGGAAAAGTGCGCTAAACTATGCAATGTTTTCTTTTTTCATTCATGCGTTTTAATATTTCATTTTTAATTCATACCTTGTCGTGAAAGAACATGTGTGAAAGAGCAAAAACATACTCTTCAGAGCGCTCAAGATATCATTTTTGCAAATCACTATCTTAATCAAAATGTTTGACAACAATTTGATTAGTTAACTCACTAATTAAATAGCTGGCATCAACACCAGCAGCCATAACACTGGGAGATGGACGGTAAACTCGAAACTGGCGTGTAAGATTTAAACAAACAACGCGAAAAAGTCGCATCGGAGCTCATTACAAACAGCGGAGCCAACTTCAGTTATCAACTTGTACAGAAGATCACATGCGGGGAAAAAGGAAACCCTCAGCACGGTAAAACCAGCAGCTTGTTCTTCGACTGGTTCGTAAAACGCTCGGGATGCTATATTTGTTAATCATAAGTTCAAAAAATATCCAATCAAAAATTGGAAAAGAGTAATGAATAGAAGTAAACAAAAAAAAACACTGACTTTGTTGTAATCTCAAGTTTCGAAGAAAACACATGACGTTTAAGCTCTTTAAACTTCTATAACAATTTATAATTGGCACTTTTTTGATGACATTAACCCAACTTGAGAAAACTAGATCAACAGCTAAAGTTTTTTATTCGGCTGGAAATCTAAAAATTAAATTCCACTTTCGAAACTAGAGATCGTTCACAAAATTTTGCGCCATTTTCAAAATCGTATTTGGAGAGTCCTATTTACGTCACTTTTAGCAGATGAATTTCAATTGCACTCAAAAAGTGTAAATATACCTATCGTGCATTCATAAATGCATCAATATGATGAATGCATATTTGTAGTTATTAAAGACTTTTAAGACTTTTTCCTTTAAAAAAAAACAAAAAAATCAACAAGACCTATATAAGAGTCTTCATTACGTTCATTAATCTTGATTTACTAGTTTGAGCTCATTTGTTCATTAGTGAATCCCTAGTGAAATTCATTCTTAATTTGAATTGTTTGAGGGCAATTTAATAAGGCTAATTCAACTAATTCTAGTGCTGCTTTCAACCCCCAATAGCCTTATTAATTCAATATTCTAGCCAGCGATCCTATTCATTGGGCCCTTCCTGCTCAGGACTACGATAGATGTCTTAAATACAAAATTTATTTTTTCACTATTCGAAAATTTTGAAAAACACGAAGCTTTTTGAAACTTTAATTCATTGACAATGAATTTTCTTCTATTTGAGCTCTTAAACACACGCTATTGAATCTCCTAAAGAAAATTTAAATTTATTGAAATACTGATATTGAACTAAGAAGGCTGCAAATTTGAGTCGACTGATCCTGTAAGACAAGCGCTTTCTAAACAAATGCATAAAAATTGAATTAGTGCCCAAGAGCAAAACACGGTAAAAATTTATTCGAAAAATGGCAAAGCCAACATAAAAATTATCAAAAGCAAAAAGTGCTGAAAAGCCTAATTCTATCCTATTATAGTGTTTGTTCAAATAACAATGGGTATTTGATCTCCTACTAAAAATCAAAAACTATGTTCATACTTTTCTATATTAAATTTAAACTACACTTTTTCGCCTTTTAAATGTTTACGAAGATAGTAATCCAAGTAGGAGTGAGTAACCCTCATATGTAATAAAAGCGCATTAGATATCTATCTTTTAATTGGCCAATCAAAAAAATGAGCATGAAACTTTGGTTTGAGCGACTCTGCAATGGTGATTACGACAAATAATAATAAAAATCTTATGACACTGCCCATTGGAAGGGCTTCCCGTGTCTCAAAGTCTAAGCTCAAAATACAATTTAGGTATCCATTTTCCGAAAAATAAACATTTCAACTCTCAAAAAAGTAAATTATAAAAGGGTCCCTTCCGTCGTGCACAAGCTGGATAGGGCCCATACCAGCATTATATAAATCCATCAATAAACAATATTGCAGGAATTAAGTCAACTCTCAAAACAATATATTTTCCTTTTCAAATTGTCACGTTTTTCACATATTTTTCTAGCATGATCGGGTTCCTTCCAGCTTATGAATTCCCTGACTACGAGTTTTCAAATAAAGTACCCAAACAAATATCACCAATCGTACCCTCACAATTAGGGGTACGGATGTGAAAATAAAAGAATATTACCTCTCCAATATTAAGATCATCCCCTTCGCTGCTTACGGGAAAACCCTGCTCATGATTGTCAAATTGAAAAAACTCCGCCAGAGCCTCGTAGGCTTTCTTTAACTGCTCATCAGACATGCACGTGGACAAATCATTTTGTTCTCCAGGCATCGAGATTGACTACAAACCAATCCCAGAAACTGTAAAGTAAAACAACAGCCAATTGTAAAAAAATAAATAAAGAACAAATCTGTGTTCAAGTAAAATCTGATATAGATTAAAAGCCGAAAGAAATAACTTAAATCCCAATCGGGAAAAGCCGGTCACAGGTCGACTAGTAATTGAAAACTCAGTTTTTAGAGAGGGCCCTTTCATTTAGGTACGGTCCGTGCCGTCTGGCTAGAGCCACACCAGTATTTTATCCTGGGCCGGGCTATACTTCAGTTTAAGGTCTCAGTCGGTCAAAATACGGATAACTTTCTATCTGGATTGAGTTTTTTTCAATTTCGAATTGTGCCTGTCATGGACTTTTGGTCAGAAACTCAAACTCATCAGGCAAATATCAGAACAGCCGAACTTACAATCGCAAGAAACCGCTGAGAAATCAGCACTGAACTAAATTGCTACGATTTTTTTTATAAGAGGCCTTACCTAATTACATGAGAGGCCCTTCCGTTTAGTTACGGTCAGTGCCCAAGCTGGATACGGCCATACCAGCGTTCTAAAAATGCATGCTTATCAGCAAACTGTATCATACATTTTAAAAAAAAAAATTAAATTACAAAAGGGGCCCTTCCGTTTAGTTACGGTAAGTGCACAAGCTGGATAGGGCCATACCAGTGATATAAATATGCATATATATCAGCAATGATGTCATAAATCAGCATTAAATGCATCGTCATAATAATAATTTATCTTAGCCGTCCTACCTCTACAATAGCGCTTATGGAGTTGTCGATAAATTGAACTTTGCGTAGCGATCTGCACCCCCTTATACAAAGTATAGAGCTCCTCAGGAGCGCGAAGCTTATTTTAGTTCTTATGTAGTTTATAGATTCTGGATAGCTTTCTTGTCTTTTTTCACTTAGTTTTTCGGCCAATCGCTGCATCGTCCGCGTGGCTGTTGGAGCAGCGCCACCGGTGCATCCAAAAATTAGCTCTGCGTTTAAAATTCTGCTCTACGTTTAAAATTCTTTGCTGATATTTGGAGTTCTTCAGCGTTTCGTGGTATTTGTATGCATCCTTCTGCAGTTTTCGCGATGTTTTGGCATAGGGGTTGAAAATTTTCACATCAAAGAAAGCGCGGCTGAATCGTGAACCCCAGAGTCCGTTTGCCTTAATGTCAAGTCGTGCCTCATCTTCAGTTGTAGTTGAATTGTTGACAAAGCTTTCGCCTTGCAACGGCTGAAGTTTCGGCTCAATTTCGACGTCATGGCAAACCTCGTTCATGAGGTTGGCGAATGTGTCTCTGATTTCATTGTGTCTTATGTGTGTGTAACCACCCTTTGCACAGTGAAGCGCATGTGTCAAGTTAAAATCAGCACCACATGCACATGTGTAACATTCGTCTACTGTAGTCACACATGAGGCTTAAGAAAAACAGGCCCTATAACCATTGGCTCAAGAGTCAGGGACACTATCTCTTGTGTTTTTCTACTTCAAATCAGTCGGAGCCAATTCGGTTCGCTTGTGACATGAGACTACGACCCATTACAGCTTAAAGGCTACTACCAAAATATCCCCCCACTCTAGAAATAAGAACGTCCCCATACTTAGGTCTCTAGATACCCAAAATACATGAACGCCGTTAAAAACCGGGTCCGAACAATCGGTTAAGGTACTTTTTATTAGACAGTGGAACTTTGATCCATTTCAGATGGATCAACCTAAAACTCGCCTTACCTCAACATAACAATCATGAAACACACTCTAGAAATTTAAATTGGGTACTCACATCGTAGCACGCTCAAGAACTGGGAGTAATTAAGTTGGTAAGCAACTCGAGAATTAAATAATATGACTAAATGAGTTTAATTTTTATCAGTTTCAAAAACAGGAACAAGTTTGAACTCTAGAGTATAGTTTCTCGTGAACCATTGGGACACTCAAGCTGTCCACCTTTCCATCGAAGGTTCACTCTAGTCCAGTTTGAATAATAATCCAGTCGAGCAATAATAGTCCAGTTCTCGGGAATACGCTTCCTTCTGTTTCAGATAGGACAGCTCTACTCTAGTTTTATTGTGACGGAAATTGCGAATAGCAATTTCCTACTGTTTTATCTGGCAACTTTCCCGCGATTGTAACTCGATCGTTCTGATTTCTCTTTTTCGGTTTTCAGTTATCGCGAGAAAATCGTGCATGACAGGCTCCATTCGAATTTTTGAAAAATCAATATTCACTCCATAATTAAGCATTCTTGTTTTTCTCAAGGTCAAACTTCCAAATATGACCGACTGGCACAATGTGAGTGGGGTTTTGCTTGGTTCCCATCCGTATCTTAAGTAAAAACCATCTCTGAACTCTGATTTATTCAGGTTGAAGTTGTATCTGCTCAGTGGTAGAGCATTGAGCCAGTTAGAGGCTCCCTTTTCAGAGGCCAGGTCGATTGCGTATTTATCTGTTTCATTTAAGGAATTAATGAGGTTTGTCTTTTTTTGATTTGTTCTATCAGTTTTCACTTTTTTGATTTCCGTACATATTTTTTCTTGCTGTGTTACTGCTGTAATAAGATCTTGAGATTCCAGTACCAGTGATGTTTCCTTAGACCATTCTAGGTAGCTTTCATGATCGGATGGCAGCTTGATGTTGAGTCCGCCCATTTTAAGGCCAATTATTTAAAATTTCTTTTGTCCCATTCAATCAGGAAATTGTCATGCAGCATTTTGATTTATATGGTAAATATAGCATATTAATATGTGCCAGTCGGTCATATTTGGAAGTTTGACCTTGAGAAGAGCAGAAAACACTTGATTTTGGAGTGAAATTTAAATTTTTAAAATTTCGAATGGAACATGTCATGCACGATTTTCTCGCGAGAACTGAAAATCAGAAAAAGAAATGAGAACGATTAAGACACACACGCGGGAAAGTTGTCATATAAAAACGAGTGGGAAATTGCTATTCGCAATTTCCATCATAGTGAACAAGAGTAGAGCTGTCCTATCTGAAATAGAAGACAGAGTATTCCCGAGAGAGTAATTATTCGAACTGGACCAGAGTGAACCTTCGACGGAAAGGTGGACAGCTTGAGTGTCCCAATGGTCCACATAAAACTTCGTTCTTGAGTTCAAACTTACCATTACCATTCAAACTGATAAACATTGAACTTATCTAGTTACTTTAGTTAATTCTAGAGTTGCTCACCCATTTAATTACTTCCTGTGCTTGAGCGCATCAACATGTGAGTCCTTAATTTAAATTTCTAGAGTGTGTTTTATGATTGTTATGTTGAGTTAAGGCGAGTTTTAGGTTGATCCATCTGAAATGGATCAAAGTTCCACTGTCTAATAAAAAGTAACTTAACGGATTGTTCCAACCCGGTTTTTAACGGCGTTCATGTATTTTGGGTATCTAGAGACCTAAGTATGGGGACGTTTCTAATTCTAGAGTGGGGGGGGGGGATATTTTAGTAGTAGCCTTTAAGCTGTAACGGGTCGTAGTCTCATGTCACAAGCGAACCGAATTGGCTCCGACTGATTTGAGGCGGAAAAACACAAGAGATAGTGTCCCTGACTCCTGAGCCAATAGTTATAGGGCCTATTTTTCTTAAGCCTCATGTGTGACTGTAGTAGACGAATGTTACATAGTGTTTTTATGGCGCTCCTGGGTGTTTACGACATCAAGACTACGGAGTCGAACCCACTTGAGACAGCTTCGGGCTGAATGCCCATTCTAGAGTACCGGCGGTACGGTTCGACAGGAACGTGCAAACCTTCCGGTTGTACCGTGATAGCTTTTTAAGAAAACTCGAGAAAATTTCCTGGTACGCTCTCCGAACGAGGCTTAGCTAACCGAGAAAAGGGGGGCAACTAGGGAGACAAAAACACGAGCAAAAAGACAAAAAGCAAAACAAAAACCAAAAAAGAATAGAAAAAGGAATAAAAACCATAAAACGAAAAAAGACAGTGACTTTGACACCAGATTAGTTGGATCAAACCTTTATATTAATTAAATAGTATACCCATACTGTTTTACAAGTTCGATCGTTTCGATCAACCTAGCAATTTAAACCAGTAAACTGAATAAAGTGCCCGAAGTGGGGCGTCCTCAAGGGTTTTCAGATAGCTTGGAACTTAGCTGGACCAATAGGAGACTTGACTGGAAGAGGTGACCAGCCGAGTGGGAAAGTGGTTCAGGGACACTTGAGCTGAACCAATAGGAGACTTGACTGGAAGAGGTGACCAGCCGAGTGGGAAAGTGGTTCAGGGACACTTGGCTGAACCAATAGGAGACTGGACTGGAACAGGTGACCAGTCGAGTGGGAAAGCAGCCAAGAAGGATTTGGCAATTCTCGAGTTCTCAAGTTGGGCAGAACGGGTATCGTTAGAATCCACATTACATTATAGGAGATAAGTGTAAAATTGGATAAGCGAAATCCCCCAGTTTTGAGGAACGTTTTTACTTGAGCAGGCCTGGAAACAGGTCTACGGTTTTCTCTTGAGAGGTTTAGCACCCGGCGCTTAAAGTAATTTTTAGGCTTAAGAAGGGGGGCTAGAAAGGGGGGAGGTTAGAAGGGGGACTGGTTAGGCTAGAGGTTGGCGGTTGTAAATTGCAAAAAGGGGGAAATTAGATTAACTAATTAGTCGACATCGTTGACTTAGTTACATTAGAAAGTAACACGCGTTGGTAATATTAGGTGGAGATCCAAAATCCAACTCGAGTTAAGGCTGGTACGCTGGTTGGTCTGGTAGGGGGGACCGGATATAGACAGCTTTTGTGATACCCCATAAGATCACTAGTGGGGGGAGGAAAACGCGTGGCAATTAGGTACCAGACATTTTTTTTTAGACGAAAGGTAGACATTGGTCACCTTTAAATTTTAGGTGGGCTCATTTTTCTGTTTTTATTATTTTTCTTACTTAAAATTTTTGTTGCATTTTATTGAGGATTTGTGTTTGGTTTTATACGAACAGGTGATCACAAGATACCTGCGCACCTACATTGAAATAGAAACAACCAAAAAGAAGAGGGGGGTCAGCATTTGGCTTTTAAGAGAGGGTTTTTGGGAAAATTTTACTAGAGCTTGAGTGGTGGTACAAGGTACGGTGGTTCAAGAAGACCCTACAACGAGGAAGACACTCCGTGACGAGTATTGGGACAAGACCGAAGAAGTCTTGGGACAGAGCAGTCTTGCGATAGTGGTCTTGGGACAGGGTCTTGGGACAGTGGTCTTGGGACAGGGTCTTGGGACAGTGGTCTTGGGACAGGGTTTTTGGGACAGTGGTCTTGGGACAGTGGTCTTGGGACAGGGTCTTGGGACAGGGTCTTGGGACAGTGGTCTTGGGACAGGGTCTTGGGACAGTGGTCTTGGGACAGTGGTCTTGGGACAGGGTCTTGGGACAGGGTCTTGGGACAGGGTCTTGGGACAGGGTCTTGGGACAGGGTCTTGGGACAGTGGTCT